GAACCAGCTTTTGATCTTGTTAACTCTTTTGTTTTTCTATTCTCTGTTTCATTTAATTCTGCTCTAATTTTTATTATTTCCTTTCTTCTGTTGCCTGAAGGCTTCTTTTTCTTTTCTCTTCTGACTTATTTGAGTTGTAGATTTAATGCTTTGATTTTGACCTTTTTTTCTTTGTGGATGTGTGCATTTATTGCTATAAATTGACCTCTGAGCACTGCTTTTGGTGTGTCCTAAAAGTTCTGGTAGGAAGCGTTTTCATTCTCATTTGATTCTGTGAATTTCTTTATTCTGTCCTTAATTTCTTCTATAACCCAGTAGTTTTTCAGCAATGTATTGTTTAGTTTCCATGTGTTTGATTTTTTTTCCTTGCTTGTTTTGTTACTGATTTCTACTTTTATGGCTTTATGGTCAGAAAAGATGCTTTGTAATATTTTGAAGTTTTGAATTTTGTTAAGGCTTACTTTGTGGCCTAATATGTGGTCTATTCTGGAGAATGTTACATGTGCATTGGAAAAGAAAGTATAGTTGACTGCTATTGTAACCTTAGTTTTGAAGAATTACTTATTTTCCCTGAAAAATGATCCTTGGAATTCCCCAAAAGTTTTAATACTTCATTACAGAGTTCCTGGTATAATGTAAACTAAGGAAACTGAGGCCATTGAAGTAACTAAGGAAGTCTTACTATCTAAATTCTCATATTCTCCTTCTTGATAGTATATGTTTATAATTTTCCATTGGAAGAAGGAATTTTATTATAGACACGCTTAATTTTTCTATATAAAAATTTCACTGTAAAACATGACTGAGCTGTAAATTTATTGATGTGATGATGGTCTTGAGAAATATTAAGAGTGCTATCATCCAAAGAACCTTCTATAATATTTCACCTTTGGGAGATTGTTCAAATTAGTCACAGTAATGGTATGGACATTTTTGGCTATTGTGTTGTATTTTTCTGCTATATATTTTGCTATATTTTTTATGTGTATGTCAAAAGCATTTGAAAAAAATGGGCACCTTAAGTGCTACTTTTTCTAGTTTTAAGCAGCAAAGTATATGATGGCTCCTTTTAGTAATAGATCTATTTACTTATAAAAGGTTATTATTTATATACTTTGCTCTATGACAAAACCAAAATACATTGTCATCGAGTCGATTCCAATTCATAGTGACCCTTTAGGAAAGAGTAAAACCGCCCAAAAGGATTTCCAAGGAGTGGCTGGTGGATTCGAACAGCTGACCTTTTGGTTAGCAGCTAAGCTTTGAACCACTGTGCACCAAGGCTCCACTGTCTGACAGGCAACTTCTATTTGAGATGTTAGTATATTTTTAGAATTGGAAGTAATATAAATAGATTTAGTTTAACCCTTATGGGGTTAACAGTCATCATCCTGTGTTGTGTAACTTTTAGAACTGTTTACCAAGCTTAATAATCACCTTATACATGAATGATAGACCTCTATGAGAAGGGGATTGTCGTCGTCGTCGTTCTTTGTTGTTGAGTGAATTCCAACTCATAGTGACAGTATAGGACGAAGTAAAACTGCCCCATAGTGTTTCTAGGCTGTAATCTTTACGGAAGCAGATCACCGGCTCTTCTCCCCCACAGAACTGCTGATGAGTTCAAACTGCCAAACTTTCATTTAGTAATCCAGTGCTTAACATTGTACCACCAGGGCTCCTTATGAGAAGGGGATTATTTGGTATTAATTCACAGGACTGATTCCCTTTATATCAGAAGGGCAATTTGTTGAACTGCTGGTGATGCTGGCCATATTATTATAACTCAAACTCAGATACCTCTTTCCTGATTTTAAAACATCTTAGAAAATGACATACTGGGGTAGTGCAAGTGGTTTGGGATCAGTTGCTAACCTAAAGGTTGGTGGTTCAAATCTACCCAGCAGTTTTGTGGAAGAAAGTCATGGTGAACTGCTTCTGTAAAGATTAAAGCCAAGAAAACCCTATAGCAGTTCTGCCCTGTAACACATGGGGTTGCCATGATTGGAATTGACTCCAGAGCAATTTTTTTTTTGGATACCTAGTTCAGGAAAGAAGTTTGTTGAGAGAGACTAAGCGTATTTTGAGAGACACATTTAAGTGTTGTGACCTGATAAAACTTCTTGATTCTACCAATGATTATACCTTTTTTTCCCAGGTAGCTTAAGCCAAGACTAGATATATGTTAACCGTCATTCTCACTAGAATAGTGGTTCTTTCTTACACTTTTGGGTCTTAGTACTCTTTATACTCTTACAAATTATTGAGACCCTCAAAGAGTTTTATGTAGTTTTATCTATCGATTTACATATTAGAAATTACAACTAAAATTATAAAAAATATTTATTTTAAAATAACAACAATAAACATATTACCTTAAATAACGTAGTTGTTATGAAATAATAACTATTTCCCAAAACAAAAAATAAATAAAAGATTGATATTGTTTTACATTTTTGTAAATATCCTTGATATTTACCGTAATAGAAGATAGCTGGATTCTCATATCTGCTTCTGCATTCGGTCCCTTGCAATATGTTGTTTTGGTTGAAGTATATGAAGAAAATCAGGTCTCACAAATACGTTGTTGGAAAAGGAAAAGGGAAGAGTATTTTGAAAGCCTTTTCAGATAATCGTGGAAACTACACCAACACTTGACAGATACTCGTTTTTAAAGGTTAGTTGCAATGTGGAATCTGTAGCCACGTCAGTGAACTTTTCATAAGCTGTTACATTAAAATCTGTTGGTCTACTTTGTGCTTTGAATGGATCTTTTATCCATGCATAATTTTGGTTATCATTCATTGGCCATTTGGCAAATATAGGTTCAGTGACTTACGCAGATCTTAACAGATGTTGACACATTTTATTATGTAATATTTTAAAAAATCACATCAGTTAACATTACCATACTGCTCATCAGAAAATCTTAAAGTATTGCAAAGCTGTCAGGCTCACAGTGGTGCTCTAGAGCTCAAATTTTATCTTTGGTAACAAATACTCTGAGATCTTTATCTTGAAGTGGTATTTATTTTGAAAAGTGCCTGCCAAATACATAAGTCTGTATAACCATATTTTGTTTGTCAGTTATTCTTCCCAGTAAAAAAAGATATTCTTTGAAAAAAAGCAAGTAGTTCAGCTCAGTTTAAACAATTGCACAAGTTGTCTTTCTCAACACAACCATCATACTTCCACATGCAAGAAGAGTGCTTATACTATTGCTGTTACTCTATTTACTATTTTGAAACAGAATATTAAAAAAAAATTGTGTACTCAAGGGTCGACTTAATGTTTATTGCTTCATCAAGAGCCTTCGTAAGTGAAACTGACTTAAAAAAACTTTAACTGCAAATGCACAGCTTTGAAGAATACAGCTACTGCTAGTTTGGTGCCACTGCTTTGATTCGTGTTAAGATACCAGTAGCTTTACTTACCATAGCTTTTACACCTGTCAGTGTGAATGTCAACAAAATGAAAAAGTCAACTAATCTCTGAGTATTATTATAAATATAGTTTTGACTTGGGGCTGCTGTGATTCTGTGTACCACACTTTGAGAGCTGCAATTGTAGAGAGGAGGCCTTTGGTGGTCACAGATAAGCCTAAGACATACTGCCATGGAACTTAGTATATAGATGGATTGTTAAAACAGAAATACACACCTAAAGAGAAAGAAAATGACAAGTCAGCTTTTCTCTACCAGAATAGTAGAATAGGTAAGAAGTTCTGAGGAATTATGTAGGAAGAAAAAATTATTATTATGTTTATTATTATTATAAAAATGTGTAAAAGTTGTGTTGGAGCACAGGAGAGAAACTACCTGATTCTTTGGTTTGGAGGAGGATAGAGAAACCAGGGAGTTTCAGAGTGGCTTCATACAATAAATGAGCACTTAAGTGATCAATAAATACTTGTTGAATAAATTACTATTTTTAAACAAAAATCTAGTAGAGAGAAATCTTTTCACTTATTTTCTAAATAAGATGTCTAAAGTTTTTCATGTTATGTCTTCATGTATTTCTTTTGATGTCTGCTTAAAGAAATGCATCTCATAGAATTTTTGAACCTTGCAGAGAAGCTGTGAACATAATTAACATCTCTCTCCAAATGTAGAAATCATCTAGATCTTACTTTTCTTATGCCTCTCTAGACTGACATGAGGGGGAAATGACACAATGAAAGGAGGGACAGGTTTTAGAAAAGGTCAATACAGAAGGGAAAAGCAAGTGTCGAAGAGACGGTGATAGATATTGTGGTTGGATCAAAGGGGTTAGTAATCATAATCGCTGACATTTACAGACACATGTAACTATGTGCCAAGGGCTGTTTTGAGCACTTTGCATGTATTTATATAAGCATCCCGGATAAGCTACGCTCCTATCAGGTAGGTACTAATATTATACTTTTTATAGCTGAGGAAACTGAGGCACCAGGAGGCTAAATAAATTACTCAGGATTATAGTTACTGTGCAGGGTAGCAGAAGGTAATTTGGTATAGAGGGCTGCTGTATTGGTGAGCTCATTTCTATTTCTCTTCTGTTTCCATGAGCAATACTGCTAATCAGGATATCTTTTTCATTGCACTGATGAAGATTCTTAGATTCCTGAGGAAGATTTTAAACAATTCTATTTTCCTTCAAGTGATAAATACCTTGTATTTTATCTTCAATCTATTTCATATTGTTATTTGTTCTCATAGTGAGGGGAAGAGTCTTTCATTTTGGTGCTGCATTCCTTTGTATACCAACCTAAGTCTCAGAATGAGTGCCATCTGTGGAAAATCTCGACTGTCCTCATAAACTGTATATGCACATCATTGAAAGTGCTTGGCTTTAGGAATCTCTACATGAAATTTTTTTATGTTGACTGAAGTAACATACCACATCAGCTGGAATTTTTTTTTTTTAAATGGGGGATCATTTATTATTTTTCAGAGATAAATGAATAATAAATTTTCATTACACTTTTAAAATGTGATAATTTTTTTCCCCATCCCATTTAGTTTTGTCAACCTGGTGGGTGGCAGCTGTCCAGAGAGAGGAAGCAGCCAACGTTCTTTGTGGTGGTCCTGACAGATATTGACTCAGATCGTCATTATTGCTCATGCCTAACCTTCTATGAGGCAGAGATCAATCTCCAGGTACAACTACTTTTCTAGCCTAAGTACAGTCAAAGGGACAACATTTAGGAATCTTTTTGTTTTTAATGTCATATTTGTTTTTTGTTAGAACTGCAAGTTTGAGTTTTATGGACTACTGTACAAAGTGTGAAATATTATAATGTTGGAGAGTAGAGTTACCAGTTGAAGATACTGTCCAGGCTTAATTGTCCCCTTTTAAAATATTTATCATAATCTGAGTACTTATCAGAACAGCATACCTGTGAATTGGGTTTATTAAGAAAATTAGTTTCCTATTGTTGTGAACCTATGATTTGTCTCTGTCAGTCCTTTTCCCAAAGAGTCTTTCACAGAACATAGAGCATTTAATCAGAAAGTATGTAAATCACTGTCATAATGCTTGACTTTCTTGTTTAATTGCCCAGGTAAATATTAACTCATTATGATTAGTGGTAATATTATTAACATGATCAGCACAAAATTCATAGACTAGAAATATAGAAATTAAAAATACTTGCTCTTTCAGAGTGGTATTGGTTGGGATTTTTAGTTTAGACAACTGGTTCTACTTTATCTAATTTAAACAGAAAAGGATTTGTGAACAGGGTATTGGACAACTTACTGAATTTCAGGGCAGGAGTTGGGAGGGAACCAATTTTGGAAACTAGGAACAGGTCACCTTGGGGCTGTGCTAGTAACCTCACTTTGTTCACCTACTACCTCTTACACATGATACAGGGTACCAGACAGTATAACCTTCCACATAGTTGCCCTAGAAAATTCCAATCTCCCTTGTACAGCTACTATTTCAAACTACTGACTTCTGCTGTTAAGTCTCACAATGGTTGTTTCCTTGGTGAAAGTCAGATTGTATGCAGAACCTAACCCCCTACAAGGTAGTTAAAGAAATGTAGTGGGTTTTTTTTAGCTTTTGCTTTCCAGGCTCTATAGTACAAGAAGGAAAGTATAAAGAGGTTGGGAGGATGTTGAGTGAGCTAATCTGCAGTGTCTGTTACGTGCTGATGAGTGAGGCTCACCACTGAGGAAGATGATCGGCTTGCTTTCTGAAATGGCCTCATAAAGGAGCTTTTTCTTTTATTATTATTATTTTTATGAAATTCCAAGATTGGAATTTTCTAGATACAGAAATCTGATTTTAGGAGGACACAAATCACCTTTCCTGATGTAGACTCACATTATCCAACTTCATTAGAGTGATGTATTAAAACCAGCATGCTAATTTATTAATCACAATGGTAAGTGAAACGGTTACATAGATCAAAATATGCATTGTCTGCATTAACAGCACATTCGATTTTTGTTGTCAGATCTTTGTGGGAAGCCACGTAAAAATCATAAGGATCTTGTCATGGATCAAACTAAGGAATATTTGGTGTCAAATATTTAATGACTATCAGACCAACATAGCCTGTTGCTTCTACTTGAAGTTAGATATTATCTTGTCAATTGGGACAGAAAACTAGAAGTTTGTGACTGTAGTCTTCTTTGCCCTAGACAGTGCTTGGGTAGATGTTGCCAACAAATGGCTTGCCAAATCCCCGTTTGAACAATTCAGTCTAAATAAGTTAACTATAGTTTTCCAGCCTTAGAGTCACTGTATCTCATTTTGGTGACCTTTCATTACTATGTTGATCTTCAGAGTTTAAGTTAAGGCTGAGTATGCAGTATTTTCTATTATTTCCATATTCCTGGGAGTACCTTTTCACAGCTCCCAAGAATTGTCTAAAGAAACTAACTGTAATTATCTAGATTCTCCCTCCTCTCTCCTTCACTTCCCACCACTCCTCCCCACCCAAAAAATAAAACTAATAGAAAAGTAATACATTAAGATAGTATAGCAGATATATCTAAACAGGTTCTAGGAATTCTTGAGTATTTTTTCAAACTTTTTATTTGAAAATAATTTCAAACTTACAGAAAAGTTGTAAGAATAGTACAAAGAAATCCGTATATACTTTACCATGTTGCTTTCCACAACATTTTTCCCCATTTGCCTTATTTGTTATAAATTATTTTTTGAACCACTTAAAGGAAAGTTGTATTATCTCCCTTTACCCTAAATTCTTCAATGTGTATCTCCTACCTTCTCTTACATAAACAGTACAGTTATCAACTTCAAAAAATTTAACATTGATATAATACTTTAATCTGTCATCCATATGCCAGTTTTGTCAGTTGACCTAAAGATGTCCTTTATAGTTTTTTGTTTTTGTTTTTCCCCTCTCCAGTACAGGATCTAGTCTACGGTCATGTATTTAATTTTCGTTTCTCTTTTGTCTTCTTTCATCTCAAACAGTTTATTCAACCTTTGTCTTTTATGACATTGACATTTTTAAGTAATGCAGCCCCCCCTTAATAGAATGTTTTTTATTTAGTGTTTTTCTGATGTTTCTCATCATTAGATTCAGCTGGAATACTGAATCAATAGTTAGAATACTACCTAAGTGAATTCCTTCTAAGAGTGTCCTTCTAGGGGTACGCATGTGGGAGCACATAATGTTTATCTGCCTCTTACTGATGATGATGATTTTGGTAACCTGGTCAGGTTTCTACACTCTATAGTTGCTTCCACCACCCGACCCCCACCCCCCAATCTTTTAGCACTTTTTCACTTTCTGTTATCACAAGTGGATCCAGGCTCATCTTATTCCTTCCCTGCCTCAGCCTTGAAATCAGCTATTTCTCCAATGAGCCCTGGCTCCTTTGAGTTGGTAAAATATTTAGAAGCCAAGATCTGGGTTCTTATGTATTTTGAATCAATGTTTAAAAATACAGTTTTTTTTTAGCTAAGATATTTATCCCCATTTGCCATTTTAAATGGACAAAAAATTATAATTAGTTTTTACAATAAACTTACAAAACTTTACAGTGCTTCATATGATTTTTTTTTCAACATTCTGAAAATGTAAATAGGTTGTGAGAATTCTAGCTTTCATATAATTGTAGTTAGGTGCTAGATACTAGACAGAATTGGTAAAGCAGATTTTCTGTGCTGGAAACAGAAAGTTAATGTCCAGGTGCGTGGTCCTACAGAGGGTACTAACAATGAGGTATAACTTGTTGGGGGCGGGGGAATGGGGGTGGCGGGAACCCAGTAGATGTTTCTTTCTAGGTCATCAGTAAGATGGTTCACGTTTTTGGCATAAACTGTTTAGCTATGTGCTTTTTAAAAAAAATGTATTTTTCTTTTCTTTTTGGAACAGTTGAAAAATAAGATATTTTAATTCTCGTTTGGGGTGAATTACTTCATAGCAAATATACAATGACACATTATTTGGAAGCCTAAAGAAGAAGAACCTAGGGACACACACCACCCAAAGTATAATTGTGCAACTTGAAAAACATTGGCTCTGTTATCTTTCCTAGATACAGTAACACTGTCAGTAATCACAAGCAAAACTCTGGCATTGAACTTTTGATAACACGTTTCCAAAATTATTCGACTAGGCTGTGTGATTCTAGTTTTTTTTTTTTTTTAAGTAATCAATAAAATATGATAGATATGATACTGCTTTTTATGGTTCATCTAAAAAAAGAAGATAGACTTAAATTTTTCATTTATTTTTTTATTTTTAAAGTCTTATTCTTCTTTGTTTTATTGTACTTTAGATGAAAGTTTACAGTGCAAAGTATTTTTGAAGTCTTTTAATGTGTTTATAAACCTGTTTCTGAAACAATGATAATTGTGTAGTTTACAGTGGAGACATTTGGTATGCCAGGAAACAAAATTCCATCAAAGAAAGAGGAATAGAATGAGAATAATTTGGGAGGTAGGATGAAGAAAAAAAGAGAGTCATAGAAAGTATAAGATAATGTTTCTTCATCCTCAGTATGCTTAAAATCTAGCTTGGACAGCAGAACCAAATTATAGTACAAAAAAACATGCCAAGGTACCATATACCAAGTACTAACTCAATGAAATAATTAATTATTGAAGACTGGACAGCTGCAATAAGTCTCAGAGAGTTTAAAGGACTCAGTGAACATTAAAAATAAAAAAAAAGAAGGAAAGAAAATCAGAGATTAGAGTAGGGGAAAAAAGAAAGGGCAGTCCAGGCAAAAAGCTTATCGATAGGAGAAAAGATTTTCCTGCTTATGATAAATTGAAGTCTTAACATGTTCCAGGCACTATGCTAAAAGTTTTATGCTTACTTTATTCACTTTATTTAATACACTTGTAGTTTATTTTTATTCTCACAAGAACACAATTTAGTAGGTATTATCATTCTCATTTTACAGATGATGGTAAATGACTTTTTATTCAGACATTCCAATATTAAGATGAAGAGTTTGGATCTGTCCCCAAAGACTAAAACATATACTAAAAGTCTGCAAAAATTACATCAGTGTGTTACTGGTTCAGAAGTAAGAATAAGACAAATTTGGGAACAGAAAAGATAGTCCAGAAGCAGACCTTAGTGTGTGTAGGAGATTAATACCTGAAAATGGAAGCACTACTTGTACATTTCAACAAATGTTAGTGAATAATTGTTGAGCTGTTTGGGAAAACAAAATAAATTTAAATACTCATAACATCATACAATAGTTAACTCCAAATGATTAAGCATTTACAAGAAAAAACTATGTAATAAAAATGGATTTCTAGACTGATTTCTAGATGGAAAACCTTGGAGCTGTGGAGAATATCACATACAACATATTTGACAGAATTAGCCAGAGAACAGTCCAGTCATTTTTTCTTTCCCTTCTGGTCGTCAAAGTTAACATTGTTCGTAATATAGAAAATTTAGAATGTACTGGAAGAAGAGAAAGATAATAGAAAAAATAATAGCTTGATGTATTTTCTTACAATAACAAGGAATTTTTTGCAGTAAACTGTATATAAATATAATGGTCAAATACTAATCGACCATATGGATCTAAATATATTTAATCAATTTCCTAATGGGCATTTATTTCCCGTTTTGTCAATATTATGAATATCAGTGTGACGAGTATCTTGCTGGAAAAAGCTTGGTTCTCTCGAGGAAGTTTTAGTC